AATCAGACTATCGAAATAAGCAGACGTGTAAAAATGGGATCGGCAGCATTCGGAATACTCTCATACGTACTTAAAAATAAAATATACCTCAAAGACTGCGAACCAAAGTGTTTAATTCCTGTATCCTACCTATACTTCTATATAGAGCTCAAACCTGGACATTCACTAAAACAAAAATGGAATAGATCAGAAAAACTCAGAGAGCTATGGAACGACAGATGCTAGGTATCTCACTCAAATACCATAAAACCAATGAAGACATTCGTAATAGAACAAAAGTAAAAGATGCTGTCGAACAGGCAGCTAAATTGAAATGGAAATGGGCTGGACATAACTAACGTTTCAAGGATGGCTGATGGAATAAAGAAATCGGGAATTGGCGGCCATACGAAGCCAAAAGACACTGGAGCGACGATATTAAAAGAACTGCAGGACTCAAAAAGAAACATATCAGAACTGCCATTACCATCAACGTTTTTATACAACTAGAAACTAAACTACACTTCATATATAAATTTTCTGGGTATGATATTCGACGAACGTCTATCATGAAAAAATCATATCAAAAGTCTAACTCTTTTATGCCAAAAAGGCTTAAATTTATTATTTATTTATTCAGAAAGATACTTAGCATATAAGTCTCGGGGATCTGATGGTCTGATGCTACTAAAAATATACAGAAGTCTCATTAGTTCGAAAATTGATTATGGATGTGTTGCATATACATTTGCTCGCCCTCTAATATTAAAATGCCTAGATACTATACACAACACCATATTAAGACTAATTCTAGATTTTAGAACAACATCTGTAGACAGCCTATATTGCGAACTGGGCGAACCAACACTATCTTTCAGATGACATATTCTCAGTTTATCATATTCCTCAAGAGTATCATCGCTTCCATCAATGTCTACTTACAAAAACACTTTTTGCAATCGTTTCAAATCAACTTGTCAAAATAACACCTCCCCACCACCTATTTATATTAAAATTCACCGCTACGTATCAACGTTAACTCTACAAAATTTTCCCAGAACATGGTTAGTGGATGGGCACAGCATTCCTCCGCTGATGAATCCCCACATGTAAAACCCCAATTAATGCAATATAAAAAATATGATACCAATCCACATCTTATATATCAAAATTATAAACAAATAATCTCGAATTACAAAAATTACACCCACATATTCACTAATTCATCTAAGTCTTCCCAAGGCGTAGAAACAGCAGTATTCTTAAAAACAACGATACCAAATATTTATTTACACTTCCCAGTTCATACAGTATCTTAAATGGACAACTTTATCCCATAATACAAGCGTTAAAGTAAATTTCCAGAGTACAAACCAAACACTCTTTAATTATATCTGACTCACTCAATTCACTGAGACTCATACAGCAAACCTTCACAAACAACTATGCTATAGCCATATTAATCAAAGAAATATTACACAGTCTTCGTCAAACAAAATCAAAAATAATTTTCCCATGGGTTCTGTCTCACTTTGGAATCATCATCATCAATTAGCCTATGTTTGTCCACTGCTGAACGTAGGCCTCCCGTAAAATTTTCCACCTATTTCTGTCTTGAGCTTCTTGCATCCAGTTTGTGGTGATGCGCTTGATATCATCCGTCCTCTAGTCGGTGGTCGTCCTCTGCTTCGATATGCATCTGCCTTGGTCGCCATTCCAGAATCTTTTTGGTCCATCTGTCATCCGTTAATCTGGCAACATGTCCGGCCCAAGCCCATTTAGCCCTGGCTATTTTTTCAACTGCATCTGTGACTCTTGTTCTTCTTCGTATTTCTAGGTTTGGTACTTTATCTCTGATGGTAATACCTAATATTGATCTTTCCATAGCGCGTTGTGTAACTCTTATTTTATCTATTGTTCTTTTTGTCAGAGTCAGTGTTTCTGCACCATATGTAAGAACCGGTAAAACGCACTGGTTAAAAACCTTTCTTTTTAAACAAACTGGGATACTAGACTTGAAAATGTTATTCAATCTACCAAAGGCAGCCCATGTGAGACCTATCCTTCTTTGTATTTCAGTTGTCTGATTATCTCGGCCTAGGCGAATCTCATGCCCTAGATATTTGTAAGCTATTACTTGGTCGATGCTATGGCTCTCAATCAGAATTTTACCGCTGGCTACAAGGTTGGTCATAAATTTTTTTTTTGATGTGCTAATTTTAAGACCAATTGTTTTTGACACTTTATAGAGCGTGTGCAGCATTTTTGTAGCTTTATCAACTCTATCAGATATTAAAACGATGTCATCGGCAAATCTTAGGTGGTTCAGATCTTCACCATTTATATTAATTCCCATATTATCCTCTCGTTCCATTTGCTTGAACATATATTCAAGAACAGCTGTAAACAATTTAGGGGAGATAGTATCACCCTGTCTAATTCCACGTTCTATTCGAAACTTATTGGTATCTTCATGAAGGCAGACACAAGCTGTACCAGTTTCGTAAATACTTTTTATCAAGGCAATATGTCGGTAGTCAATGCGGCAGTCAGCCAATGCTCGAAGCATTTTATGATGATCTATAGTATCGAACGCCTTTTCATAATCTACGAATATAAGAAAGATAGGCTTGTTATACTCTGTACACTTTTCTATTAGCGTTTTTACAACTTGCAGATGATCATTTGTTACGTATCTGGAGCGGAACCCAGCCTGTTCACAAGGTTGGTAACTATCCAGTTTGTTCACAAGCCGTTTTGTTATTATCTTCATGAATAGTTTGTATGTATGGGAGAGCAAACTAATAGGCCTGTAGTTCTTTAGGTCTGAAATGTCACCTTTTTGTGCATTATGGTGATTATTGCATTATGTCACTGGGAGGGGGTTATGCCTCTTGTCACACAAGCATTGAACATCTTTTTCAACACATTTAGTAACGTTCCTCCTCCTTCTTTGATTTGCTCAATGACTATCCCATCTTCTCCAGGTGATTTATTGTTTTTCATCTCCGAGAGAGCTGATTTTATTTCCTCTGTTGTGATATCTGGGATATCTTCTGAGCCTGAGAAACTTTGGAATCAAAGGAAATGAAAACGCTGATCGTTGGGCTTACACAGTTGCGCAATTACCTTCATTGGCAGAACAATCAATTGCAGTCTTAGATATAAAGCAACTAGTAAAATCGATGACCCTCAATTTATGGAAAGAAAAATTGAAGACATCTACAAGCAAACTAAGAGAGATAAAAGAAAATACTGGTCCGTGGAATCCACATTCAATGAACAGATCTTACCAAGATCATCCTATCTCGTCTTCGGTTAGGACACTGCAAACTTACCTACTCATGAACATCTCATTACGCATACTCAAGCACCAAAATGCAGCAACTGTAGCATACTAATTACAATAAAACATGTGCTAACAGAATTTAGTGAATTTGACGCTTAATTAAGCAATCGATATCTGGATATTCAAATAATATGTAAGACTTTATTAACCTTCAAACCGCTGTAAACCTCTTTTCCAATTCCTTAACAAATGTAACTTAGCAAGTAAGATATAATGTACTTAAATTTATACTTTTTACACCTATCGTATTTTCTTTACCCCGTTAATGACCTTCGTGGTTAATGCGGTTATTTTCTAAATAAAAAATAGAATTAAGAATAATCTGGTCAAGAGCTTATTTCTTGTGGTAATGTATTATTATCCTCCTTATCTCTACATAATATTGTTGTGGGTTTGAATTCTTTTCTGCTTTTGTTAAATTTTTGGTAAAACTTTCTTGTCTCTGTTGAGTGCTTCAAGGTCTTTGTTCATATTTTCTTTCTTCGGTGGATTTTCTTTTCTTCGGTACGTATGCAATAATTACTTCATCATCATCATCATTGGTGCTACAGCCGTATAAAAGAACCTCGACCTTCCCAAGTCTATTACACCAGTCAGTTCTATCCATTGCCAACTGTTGCCAGTTTGCTGCGCCTATTTTTCTACCATCCTCATCTACACCATCCCTCCATCTGAGTTTTGGCCTACCCCTACTTCTACTTCCCACAGGTTGTGACATAAGGATTCTTCTAGGATTGTTGTTCTGTTGTGATATTGCCAGATGTCTTGCAATAATTACTTGGGAGGCAAAAAAATCATAATTTCGTGGGATTAAGCCTTTGTCGACAATATAAGTAGTATTTTCCTACTATATAGTTTGTATTCAGTGAAATGGCGTAACCACTTAATGAAAAACTGGTGTAGTCATACTTTCTTTCTCTATTTTTTCAGTAACTATTTCAGCAGGTAAATTATCTAACCATTCAACCTTTTTCATTATTTTCTTTAAACAATATTATTTCGTTTGACATCTTTATGAGTACATATATAAGTAGTACATGTTGCGGTATATGAAGGTTCAGTCGGCAAACTTTATTAATTATCTATATCTATATATTAAGAAAACGGTTGAGTGAAGATTTGCCAGTTGCTACAGCTAGTGCCATATTGAACGTATAACGTATTCGTATTTATTTGAATTTGAAAATGAGAAAACCTTTATTATCTATCTATATTAAAAATGCATTGATGAGTTTACATGATATCAAGTTTCAGCATAATCTCTCGTAGCTTTTCAAAATATTCATTTGTCTCTATGAGTTTGTTTAACTTGGCAGCGACACTTGAATTCATCCATGCCATCTGAAAAGATGGTAAACAAATGGTTGAGTGACGTATTAACAAGATTTTGCCAGTTGCTACAGCTAGTGCCATATTAAACGTATAACGTATTCGTATTCATTTGAATTTGAAAATGAGAACCGTAAACCGTAGTAAAATAACGAATGTAAACATTCAGACCACCCCACTCAACTTAGCCACCGCTTAGCCTTGACAAATTTACCGGTAACTCATATCCGAGATTACTCCCCTGGTACGTTTATATAAAATCGTATTGTTTTCTAATGTTGGTACATAGGACAGAAATCATAGGAATGACAAGATGATACACAATAATTTGTAAACAACATTATGAAGTTAGGTGCATTTTATGACATTAGCAGACCCATTTTGTTTGAGTTTTGAGTGTATCAATGTTTTGTATTAATAATGCAAACTAAATATGTATTAAAAAGCACAATTAAAGTTCATATAATTTTGTTCAGATCATAACAATTACAAATGTTTAAAAGTGTGTTAATATTTTCTGGTTTCTGATAGAATGGACAAAAATTTGAATTGTTTGTAGTTGACTTTCAGAAGTCGGCTAAAATGATATATCTCTACAAAATCGCCTAAAGAACGTATGTTTTAAAGAACAGTTGAAAATGAATTCCAAGAAGATAAAAGATATGCTAGGCAACATTGGATCTATAGAATACTCTCCTAATGTTCCAATAAAAAAATCTAGAAAAAAAAATGCTGATGTACTAAATCAGAATGCTGATTCAGCAAAGAAATCCAAAAAACGTAAGTTAGGTACTGAACAAATCCATTCAGTACCCATTAAAAAGCAAAAGCATCAAATTAGCAATAATGAAGTATACAATCCCAAAGATAGTGAAAAATCAGTAATTCATGAGAATATTGAAAACAATGTGCCATCAACCAAAACTTCCAAACGCAAAAATCTCATTCTTTCTGATGAGGCTCAAACAGATGGGAGGTATATTGAAACTGATTTATCAACTAATTCTGTGCAGCCTACCAAAGTAGGCAAGAAGAAGAAAAAGGAAAATATAAAATCTCAAACTGATACAGGTAAGTGTGTCGAATTTGGTAAGCCAACATCACATTTGCTCACAATGTTACTATTTTACTATATCTAAAAAAGGAGTATGAGCCCTAATTCAAATAGAATATTTGGGAACTTTTGTGACCAATAACACTCTCACAAGTATCCTTGTGAACCAAACATCTTGTTATCATATAATATATTACTCTCATAAATTATAGTATAACATAAGAATTTTTCATGTCCATCTTTTTGATTCAAGCATATAAATAAATCATTCAGAGAATTGTTAACACATTAAGCCCATGTGCAGCATGATACTATGGACTGTTTGTACCAATTTGGCCCACAGTATTATTTGTGTTTTTATGTGTTTAAATGTGATCACAGGATGTATGGTCTGAGAAGAAAGGTGCACTTCAATGTTCTGAGGCTAAATGTGTTAATGATTTATTAGAATGAAAGTTCAAGGTGTCAACGTATTTTATGTTAAAAAAATAGAAATTGATTACAAATAACATACATGATAATTTTTCTAATATTTTAAATGTATCTCTTGTTTTTATTTAGATAGGTTAACCCAATATACAATAATAATTAAAATTACTTATTAAGAATATAAATAATTGATAATTACAATTGTTTTATTACATGTCATATTATTATAATTTTCTATTTTATTAGTTGTTTGTACTGTCCATTTTTTAATGATATATCTCTTTTTATTCCACTTTTAATTTTTTTTATCATTTTTCATAGTTTTATTAACTTTCTCCATCACAATTATTAAAATTTAAATTATCGTCATATAAGTTTACACTGAATAAAGTGTAAATTGAATAATAGAAAACAATAGGTAGATTAGCATTATAAAATAAATCCAGATTTATAAGCCATATTACTCTCACTTGGTTTAAGGGGAAAATTCACTCATCCCAGTTACCTACTGGTTTTTCTTTTAAAACTAGTATAAACTGTTTCTAATAGGAGGAATATTGTCAGTTAGCATATATTTGATCATACAGGCTATCAACATCAATAGAATTCAAATTTCAAATGTATGAAATAGTTATTTTATTGCATCTCACTATGTTCCTAAATTTTTTGAAAAATGAAGGTTTAGTAATTTGAATTTATTTTAAAAGAGCATAGATAACAGTGCTTATTTTTGATGTAGAATAAACATGTGCTTTAAGAAAATTTTGATTTAGAAGTACATAGTCAATTAATGTTTTATCAACATTTGTGATTCTTGTAGACGCATTAATTGCTTGATTAAGTCATATTGTGAGGACAGATTTAGTTTTTGTAGAATTAAAGGCATTGTTTAAAAAAACAAATTTAAATCACAGATTAAATTTGTTTAAAAAAAAACAAATTTAAATTACAGATTAAATTATAATTTTGTTTTCACTGAAAAATAAATGAAGGCTTGAAGTAAATAGGTCAGTAACATAAAATTGAATCTAAATGAGGGAAGTTGGTTACAATAGTTGCTAACAGAATGCACTAGGTGTATGTGCCAGGGAGGCTAAACTAAAATGGGGTTTAACTCAACTGTGCTTTGAAACAAAGGAATCATGATAGCACTTGCATGATTGAAGTACCATTTACTGAATGTATTAAACCTTTAGAACTAGTTGAAAAGTTGTTTTAAATTATTCAGTTGAAAATGTTTCTTTTTAATTAATACTGAATAAACTAAATTTTTCAGAGACCAATAAGATAGCCCAAGAAGGTGCTTCTAGTATAAAAAATAATAAAAGTTCAAAAAAATCGAATCCATCAACTAATGCAGGAGGTCTTGAAGAAGTTCATAATAGCTCAAAAAGAGTTGAAGTGGATATTGTAGATATAGAGGGTAAGAAAGTTGACAGTGAAAAAAATGAAAATGTGGTTACTATATCTATTAAAGATGTTGATGGTATGGATTCAGATTGGGATGAAAATGACTTACTTAAACAACTGGAGAGACGTGTAGAAAAAAAAGAGATCCCAAAAGGTGTGTGTTTTTCTTTCTATGTATTAAATTGATAAAATGAAAATATTTTAAGAAAAATCTTACATTTTAGAAAAAAGTGTGAACCCTCTTTGGCCTGATGTTGATTTGGCAGAATTAGTAGAAAGGATGGAAGCTGCTGTACCAGAGAATGATATGAAACCATTTTTGAGAAGGACAGAAGAACTCGAGTGGGATAAAGTAAGTAATTTATTGTAATTTTTCTTTTTAGATTTCTGATGCCAGTTCAATTTCAAGTCTAGAGCAAGCATGTTTCCTCATGTGCTGTTTGGAAATAGTTAAAATGGATAATTTAGTTCCTTTAGAATTTAAAAATACATATATCAATAAAAGCATAGAGCTTTTGAAAAAAATTTTTGTGAATTTTTCTTTGATTTGGTAAGTGTGTCAGTCAAATACAACATAAATTAACTTATTGTTTACAACTTTCGGCTTTTTTGGTTTACAAAAGAGTAATTTGTCAGGAGCTTAATAAAAAAAAAACAAGGTATTTAAAGAAAATGTCATTTGGCTGCAATTGAGTTTTGTAGCAATTCCCAAAGTCAAGTGTAATAACCTACTCAGGACAATAACATTGGTGAGTCACACTTAAAACATTGTTGAAAATAATTCACAACAGAATTGTTAAAACTCATGAATATGAAATTAGTGACACAATTTGGGTTTAGAAATGGTACAGCCGCAAATAATTCTTTGTTAGGTTTGAATGTCCTTGCTCAGAGATACATGGACATGAATTAGAATTTTAAGTAATTGTATGTATTCCAGATTGCTTTTAAGAATTACTCCATTGAGGATTGTAAAAAGACATGGTCTTTGGTTTTGAAAAAGATTAGAAAATACAGAATTTTGAAGGAAGTACTTAATGATGCTAAAGTGTGGATACAGACTCCAAAAGCAAAGAAAAAGTCAAAAAAAGCAACAAGGCATCCTGATATGCCAAGAAGACCACTTTCTGCATACTTCATTTATTATTTAAAGAAAAAAGATGCTGTACAAGCTCAGAATCCCGGTTTGGATGCAGTAAGTATTTTTTGTATTATCAACAATGATTACTTTTATATTGACATTATTTACTTTATAGACTGAATTGGCTAAAATGTGCAGTCAGCAGTTTAAGCTATTACCCTCTGAAAAGATGGCAAAATATGAAAACATTGCAAAGAAAAATAAGGAAGAATATGATCAAAAAATGAAAGAATTTTAGTAAGTATATCTTTGTTTTAATAAAATGATATTAAAAAATGAAATGAAAAAAAAAGATGATTAAACATTGAATTTTATCTTTATATATAATTTAAAAAATCACTTAGTTTTAAAAGGGGAGGGCGATCCTCCCATCGCCCCCCTTGGATCTGCCTCTAGAAATTATTTTTACCTAGTAGTGTACATTGAAAAGTATAAGTATTTCACATGCTTTATTAATTTTAGTGAAAGATATCCTGAACTAGTGACAGATACAAAAAGCAGAAAATCTTCTAAAACCAAACCTCCAAAACCCCCAAAACCAGTAAAAGAAAAGCCTCCTCCGAAACCACCTAAAGTTGCTAAAGAAAAAGCACCAAAACGAACACTTTCTGCTTTTCAGTATTACCAAAATAATGAAATGGCGAAAAATGAAATAGAAGATAAAATTGCTTATAAAGATATTGTTAGGGAAAGATGGAGGGAAATGCCAGATGACAGAAAAATGGAATGGATTACATATGCCGAAGCAGAAACAGCAAAATATGAAGTAAGGGGTTATTATTAATTTAACTGATCCTAACAATATTGTATTTTTGTAGGAAGAACTGCGGCAGTATGTCAAGAATCATCCTGAATATGTGAATAATGCACCAAAATCACAACTGACAAAAGAGGAACTTTTAGTTAAAGAAAGAATGTCAGGAAAACCTGCAAAGCCACCCGTTTCGGCGTACAACTTTTTTGCAAGAATGATGCTTCATTCTGACGATATTAAAGATGTTCCAGTAAAGGATAGGTTGATTTTTGTCTCTAATCAATGGAAAGAGTGCACAGACGAAGAAAAGAAACACTATAAAGATCTTTTCAATAAAGTAAGATGTTTTATTTCAGCAAAAATGTTTCTTAATATTTGTTTTTTAGACCATCGAAAAATATAATATAGACTTTGCTGCTTATTTGGAGACTCTTTCTGAAGAAGAACGAAATCTAGAATTGTTAAAAACGCAACCCAAGCGACGGAAATCTGAAGATGAAAAAGTGAAAAAAGAAACTAAAAAGAAGCCAACAAAGAAGTCTGAACATAAACCAGCTAAAAGAAAAACTGTTAATAATAGGTCAGCAGAAAAAAAAGCTGAGAAAAAAACACCAGCTAAGCTAGTGGAGCCTGAACAACCGCCCATGTAAGTTACAAAAATATGTTTTTAATAATGTATTTATATTTGTACCAAAATTACTACTAGACAAATTGAAATATTTTATAAAAGTTATCAATATGATAACTCTTTAGGCTTTAATTTTTTTTTTTTTTTTTTAATATGTTCCATCGAATCAGTCCAAAGTATATGTAACTATTCATGATCCCATACAAGTTTTTATGTTTTATGTTAGGTGGTCTTATTGATTAGAATATTCGCTTATAGAGCCAGTTTTAAGAATATTTGAAACTCTTTATGTCTATAAATGGCTGCCCTAAAATTCAGACATTTCCCTCTCTGCGAAACTTCTTAAATACAATTAAATAGTTTTAAATTCGCAGTAAATTAGTAATGATGTAATTCATATAATGTTATCACTGATGAATTACAAACTGACCCACTTCACGTTTCCGAACAAAAACCGAGTTAAAGCATAGAAAAATAGGTAACGTAACAGTACCCGCCTTTTCGTTTTGATCATCGATATCACAGTTAGTGTTCATGTAATTTACATACCAAGTTACTCAAAATTCATCATTCTTTTATGACATTGGTAGATCATTTATCCTTTTTGCATAGCTGTATGAACCTTCTGAAAGTGATTCACTCTGTGGTCAACTAATACATTTTTACTTTATTAGCTAGTCTCTACCATCACTTAAACCTTCTGTTCCATAGTATCCTTTGATACCGTATGTTTATGTGTGAAGCTATGGAGAGAAGTGTATATATGTTTATTTTATAGGTGCTTTCTTGTTCTAGTTCTGCCTACAAGTATTTCGTCAGGTCATATAAAGGACAAGAACCGTCCAAAGCGTGGAAGTCGTTGAGTTCAGAAGAAAAGAAAAAATATGAAGATGAGTTAGTCCAAGAGAAAAAAAAGTATATCTTGGATTTTGAAAAATTTTTGAAAAGCATGACCAAAGAAGAATTGGAGCACTTTTCTAACACCAGACAAAAAAATAGGAAGGTTGAAGAGGAAGACGACGATGAGGAAGAAGATGATGACGATGACGAGGGAGATGATGATGAAGAAGGAAATGGAGTAAGTTTATGGAAAGCCCATATAATTAGATAAAAGATTTAAAACCAGTTATTTGACTGTAGTTTATATGTAATTTATACAGAGTTGGAATTCCAAGGCATAAATATGCAACAGATACATCTTGTAAAGCTGCACAGTTTAGTACTTCTATTCATAAATTTGGTAAGATAACTAAGATGCTGTTTAGTAAGTTTAGTGTTGATTGCGCTAGTAACATAAGTGCATTGTTTATGTGAGCATTAAAACAAGTAACAAAATATTACATTGCTTTAATTCGCTAAATATTTCTTTCAGCATTAATTTATTAATTTATTAATTAATTTAATCACTGTTCTAAAACCAGTCTAAAATATAAACAAAATTTCTGACTTCAGTCTGAAATTATTTGTTTAAAAAATATATTTGATTAGGTGTTTCTTCAACTACGCTCAACTATAATGGTTTTAAAATGTAATCTCTTTTAGCCTCCTAAATTACGAAATTATTAAACAATCATAAAATAGCATCTGATGTTCTCAGTATTACTGGCGTTATCGATCTCAAAACTTGCGTAATCTTCAGTGTTTAGCCAAGGTAGTCATACATCTTATTGTCGATACATCCTCACAGTTCAAAAATGATTAAATCCTCAGGAAATTGAAGTATAGCCTGAACATTTAGCAGACTTGTAATGAAATGTTCAGAATACAAGACAATTGTCAAGAAATGGAACAAATACTTTTCAAAAACGTTGTGCGAGGTATCATTCCTATATACAGTCGTTTAAAAATGCTGAGACTCGTAAACTTTTATATAGAAATAGGCGCTTTTTAAACATAAATTTAAATGTACAGGGCGGCTCACACAAGTCTAATATAGTGCAAAAGCTTTGTTTTAATAGAACATCTTGTACATTCTTGTTTTCAAAGGTTCCTCAACAACCTGATCTCAATGAACTGTATCATGTTTGGTCTATTATGAATAATACAAGGTGAAATTTTGAAATTAAAAAGTGTGGAAACCACTTAGGATTAAAATTGTTTGTATCCTAGTTTTAGAAAATTGTGAAAAGACAAGTCAATTTTTAAATTCAAATACAAGCTTTATAACTATACATTTAAATGTACAAGGAGATTCACACGAGTCTAGCATAGTTCATCATCTTTATTTTTAATGGAACACCTGTGCATTTTATGTTTTTAAAATATCCTTAACGAAGAATAATACAAGGTGAAATTTTGTATAATTTTCTTTAAGAAATTAAGTACAAAACCCAATATAGAAAATTGATGCCTGTGTTTAGTTAATTTTAAAAAATACCATTCAACATTTTATGGATTTATTATCATGAGGAAAATTTTACATAATTTCAAAATTCCACTATGTATTATTCATAATAGAACCTACATAATATACTCTTTAAGATGAGGTTGTTAAGTAGCTTCTAAAAACATAAAAATATACAGGGTGTTTCATTAAAAATAAAGATGATGGACTATGCTAGACTTGCGCGAATCACCCTATACATTTAAATTTATGTTTAAAAAGCGCTCATATAAAAGTCGACGGGTCTCAGAATTTTTACTTTTGTCGATAGGACATTTTGATCAAAAGATAGAGTTTTTACCGTCAAGTTAACTGACTTTCAAAATCGCCGGTCGCTTCAAGCGCTGTTTCTGAGAGAACGATTCATTTTACACAAAAAACACTTCTGTTCAAAATTATCTCATCTACATTTTGTATTTGAAACATTTTTTCTACGACGTAAATAATTTTGGTAAATCGATTTTTTCCGCTTTTTCTCCCATGCGAGGGGGGTTTTAGGGGAGCCGAGGGTAGGAGTGATAAGGTGTTTTGCATATTTTTTGCGGTCTCAAAATTGATATTCTTAGCAGCATGCAGCTTGTTCATACGATTTTCAGAGGTTCAGTGACATTTTCGTATCTGACGACTGGAGTAATTAGCGAGCTTTTTCGATTTCTTTGGACACGGGATCAAAAGTTTGGTTTGCAGCTAATTATCTATCAGGATCAAAGATATATTCTACATAAGATACTATTTTTTTGTAGGGTCTTGGAAAAAGATGAATTCTCTAGGTTTTTTGGGCTGATCAAAACTGATTTTAAGTTTGAATATATATATATATATATATATATATATATATATATATATATATATATATATATATATATATATATATATATATATATATTTCCTATAACGGACACTTTTTCATCGTCGACACAAGAGAAATTAATATAGTCATACTTTATTGATCCTTTAAGACATTAAAAATAATGTATAGAATACGTCACTACAGAATTCAATACAAAAAACATTAATGTGTATAGTACAATATTCACAGTGTAAAAAATTGACAAAACATAAAATATATAAAATAACATTTTTACACATAAAATTATGAAGCTACACTGCAGTTTTTCCTCAGGATATTCATTTTTAGAATAATAAGCTAGACTCCGACAAACTTAAGTTTGGGAATGTGACGTCGTGTTTCGCGCAGAAAGTCGGACCGTTTCTACCAGTGGCGGACGGAAACCGGTAGCTTTAAAATAAATTTTTTAAGTATATTCAATTAAAGTGAGAATGCATTTGTCAATTTTTATTTTTATAGTTTTTAATATTTATGAAGTTTATAGTCAGGCATTCAATAAAGCATGAGTAAACTATTAGGAGTAGTTTAATAAATAACAAATTCCTCAATACTTACAATTTATTAACATTGCCAGGAAGAAAGAAAGGGAAACAACTCAAAAAAAGTAATTTATTTTAACAAATTAAATAATGTATTTATTTTATAAAAAAATATGGATTTTAAAGACTTCTATATTTTGTTATATGACAAAGGAATAAATGTTCTCTTGCGATTTGAGTGTTTTCATATTTTTTTACGTGTTTACATATTATTATGTTAGCCCACTATTCTATCAACACTTCTGAAAATTTTGCTCTTGTTATATTTTCAACATAATTTATATTAAATGTTGTATTATGAGTGGCCACTCTACCTTTTACTAAAGCCCATATTTTTTCAATAGGGTTTAACTCTGAATGATAAGTAAGCAAGCGATGTACTTGATGGCCATGTTGTTCAAGCTTATAGTCTAATACATAAACTGGTGGAAAACGTGGTTTATTGGCTTGAATAATTTTATATAATTCCGGTTTGGTCAAATTTTTTTGAAAGGGAATACTTTTTTCTTGTAACCATTTTACCATAATATCCCTACGGCTAGCAGACGTCACATTTTTTTCGATTAGTACATTATGGTAGGATGCGTTATCAACCACCAAGACCGAATTTTTAGGTAAGTTAGGTATAAGCTGACTTCTGACCCACTTCATAAAATTAAGATGGTTCATATAGTCATCGTAAAAGTCATATACATATAACATTTTTGATGATTTCTTCTTCTCCTCGGTCCAATTGAGTTTTTTTAACACGAGAACGTTTTCTTTTTCGACTTGTAAAATATGAAATAGTCGCTCCATTTTTATTAACTTCTCTACCTTCTTTTCTTATTTTGGATAAGGTGTTTTTACTTATACCCATCCTATTCTAGCTGCTAGAATCCTATCCCTATAATTACTAATGTTAAATATTACTAGATGAAAATATTGACAAACAAAATGCATATTAATCATATTTACTAACACAATCTATATTGGGATCGGTTATTTTCTGTTTCAAGTAAATAGTAGAAAGTATCTGATGAAACATCGTAAATAGGTACTCACAAGGTGTTGGTTGTAGTGTATTTATACAAAATACAAACCAATCATTCAAATATAAATTACCACCTGTTTGTAGCATTTATACTGCCGAGCTTGTTGCAAATATAAAAGGTATTACCTGGTTAACATCCAATAACATACTCGAAGGAATATTATTAACAGATTCTAAATTTGCATTAGACTCTATAAAAAATACAAAATTTGAAGGAATGAAGTGTCATATGTTATGTTTTTTAATAAACATGATTGTAAACTTAAATAAACATTTATTTGGGTTAGAGGCCATGTAGGTATACCAGGGAATGAAAAAGCTGATACTCTAGCTGAGGAAGCAGTGCAAAATGGAGTCTTTTGCAATATTTATACAGTAAGGGATATATTTAACTCAATAAAAAATAAAATTAGACTGAAATGGTAACAGCAGTGGGAGAATATTGTTAAAAACTAGCAAAATACATATTTACAGATACACCCCACTTTACATTTAAAGATGTGAAAATAGAAATATAAATTAGTATAACTTCAATGACTTATAAATATAACAAAAAATCTAAAAAGATCTAAAAAAAGTAACAAAAAAGAACAAACAAAATATTTTTAAACATAAATAAAACATTATGTGGCTAATGGACTTGTTTCCGTGTCATATTTTTCACACACACACACACTACACACACCACACACACACACATACACACACAAATAAGAAAATAAAATATCATTGACAATACTTACGTCAATTTCCTTAAAGGTATTAACAAGTTTTAGGTTGCTTCGGTATGTGCTGCCTCTTGTTCCTTAAATGTAGTAACATTATAAATTATTGCCTTTGCTTGGCTATTTAATCCCAGCCCTTTCGTTCCTATCTTTTTAGAAGCCATATTATAACTATTATTAATAACTAAAATTAACATACTATAAATAAACTTAACTAAACACTAAATGACTTAATAATTCACTAATTACTACTACCTACATTATACTAAGCACTAATATAAAATAAAATAATAAAATATCCAACATGATCAATCAACAAGTCAAACACTCTCTGCGATATGCAACTACGGCACTGGCAAACTGCAAACTGGCCGTTTCTATGGTAACGCTAGTAAACAAGAGCCACTGCGCACCGTCGAGTTATGAGTCATATTCCCAAACTAAACTTTGTCGGAGTCTATAAGCGTAAATCTTTAAACTCTTTTTTATTTAGAGGAAAGTGCTATTTTTTTCACGGTTTTTGGCAAATCATTGTATAAGGTCAGTCCCATATATCTGAAGCAATTTTGAAATTTGGATGTTATGTGTTTAGGAACTCATAAAGATTCAGCACTTCTTGTATTATAATAGTGATTGTCTGAATTTACTGGAAATGTATTGATTTCCTCTTTTACATACAGTAAACATTTGTAGATATATAGGCAGTAGAAAGTTAACATTTGATGTTATAGCACATGTGGTTCTAAGCAAGGCTATAATAAACGTTCATTAACGCCGAGATGGATAGTGTGTTTTTAATTCTAGATATAACATAAAAAACTTTATTCAATTTCATGTTCACTGAATTCACTTGCTCTGACCATTTGAGATTAAAATCAATGAACACACCCAAAAACTTTGTAGAGTGAGTCGAAGATAACATGTTGTTTCTATCATGGATGGTTAAGATATAGTCATAGGTAGATGAGTTGTATGAATGAAAATAAATAATTTTCGTCTTTTCAATGTTTAATATTAGTCTGTTGGTATTACATCAGCGTATAAAGCAGTCAACAACAGTCTTCATTGTCATTTTTAATTCCTCGAGCGTACATGCGGAGACTATTAACGAGATATCATCAGCAAACATTGATATTATAAGTGTTCTTATGTGATCTGGTAGGTCATTAATAAAAATAAGGAATAATAATAGAATTAATAATAAAAAAAGAATAAATATAATTATGTATCGTTTGTTTTAGGCTGCCAGTACTCATTCGGATTCGGAAGATAATTCAGGTGACGATGGAAGTCACGATGACCAAGATCAACTTGCTAACTAGCAGGAACTGACTGAGCTCTGCTGCCAAATTACTTCGATTGTTTGGCATCCTTTTTGACGTCTTAGCCGCAATAAAAGTCGGCGATAGACATTGTGAATCGATCAAGACGATTACATTTAATTTAGTTTTTTATTTTTACATATAGCGTTCAGTAGTTTTTTTGACAGATTTTGGTTATGTATATACCCCTTCGATATATTTGTAATATTTCGGTTATGATTGATTTTGTAATATTATAGTTATATACATATATTGAATTTAATTAAATGTTTTAATTTAAAATATTTTCAATATTGTTAACCCATTAAATGGCTAAAATTTTTGAACACAACATCATTCTTTGTTGGCTTTTATTTTTAACAAATGTTTATAGGTATAAAACATAAATCAATTATTTTTTATTGCTGCTATTCACTACTGATTTTTCTCGTTTAAATTACTAAAAATGGTAACAGACCAAACATTAATTTTTTCACAAAATTAAAATAAAAACTTAATTGTAATTCTCAAAACATTTTTTTTTTAACTACTTAGTCTTGTTTACCCAAAGTATTTACGCTACATCTAAGTCCTTAATATTATCCTGAATTAAAATCATACAAATCGACTAAACACTGGGCGTCACCATACTCTTTCGGTGATTATTTTCCACGCCATCTAACTACTTAAATTTTGTCTACCTCGTAGACGCTTTCCTCGTGCGTTTAGACTCTTGTTCATCTGCCTAAATCAGGCATTCGCTCTAAATCTTCCAATCATCTCACTTTATCCCTTTTCGTCTCTGCCACATCACAAGACTTGGTTCTCCATGGAGCTCTTGATGCTTTTCTATTTTTGCAAATTAATGAAATAAACAATTTTGTGTATGACAAGACAGCTTTTTTTTAATGTTTGGCCATTGATGGGTTGAAAATAAAGTTGTAAAGATTTATTCTTGATGTCACGTAGAGTAAGGGCAGGACCTAAATCAGTTAAAATTGTCTCGTTAAGATTTCAATTTATATTTTCAATTGAACAGGTGAACTAACTCTTAATAATAATAATACCTTCTGTTTTATTTATTTGGTCAAAATAAATAAAATAGCTCTAAAACTCAATTGTCGTTTGATCATTTTGTTGGTGTTTATTATATATTCATTAAGAAAGAGAAAAGCTATTTAGGCATAAATAAGGAGGTCGAGAATTGCACCTTTAAACTACTTGTAAAAAGCAGAAGATATAGTAACGAGAATAAGTAATGTCGAAGATACCATGAGAAGAAGGTGTATTACTGTAGGAAATAAAATTTTGTTATAAGAAGCCAAATTCACACGTATGTGTTGAAACAAGCATGAAAGAAAGAAAAACAAATCTGTTACAACAGTTATTCAGAGCTAATTCTATTATTGTAGCTGTCATGAGTATGTAAAAATTATATTGGTCATTAATTATGTATATATATATGTTATAGAAAATACTTTAAAATTATGTATTTCGTGTATAAAAAGTAATATTGTTTGTAGTGTAATTGCTAAAACAATGAGAAAAGTGATAAAGCTTTGTATTTTAAGTAGTGTAGAATGTGAATGTTAACCAAAAATACTTTTTAATTGGTAAACAGTGTCGACAAAGCGTTAATCGTAATTTAAAGAACATGTAAAATGCGAGACACGTGGAAAATTATTGTTCAAAAATAGAGATCAAGAACGTACCGTGATAATTCGTGTTGAAGAAACTATATAATAAATTGTTTTGAAACGATTATAAAACCAAAAGCTAGAAAAGAAGTAATATTGTACATGGAGAGATGTTTTGAGAGGATACTGTTCTTGTTAGAATTAGCACACATTCTCTGCTTATTCTGTGCAGAACTTATATGTAGGCAGTATTCGCAACATGTGCAACAATTCGACGCGTACAATTTAACTGTAGTAAAGTTTCAATATTCTAGGCACTAAATCCTGAGAAATGATAATTAAGTTTTAACCACCAAACGTATGCTTGTAGATATTCTGCAGTTCAAAGTTATATCTATGCCTTCATATTCCGTTCTCACCGACCGCTCCGAATATCTTGCGTAGCACCTTTCTTTCAAAAATCGATAGAGCGGATTCATTTGTTTTAGTTAGCGTCCATGCCTCTGATCCATATGTGAGAACGGGGACTATCAGTGTTCTATACAACCTTGTATACGAGTTTTTTGAGACAGACGTTTGTTAGCTAAGTACTTTGATAGACCATGATAACACCTGTTTGCAATTATTATTCGCCTTTTTATTTCCTCAGATGTGTTATTATTGGGGTTAACCGATGTCCCTAGATATATGAACTCTTTGACTGCTTTGAAGTTTTGGTAATTGATGATTAAATCGGCGTCAACATTTCCAGCTCTTGTGTTTGTGTTAGTCGCCATGAATTTGGTTTTATTTTGATTTATATGCAACCCCATTCGTTCTGCTGCTGCTAATAGCTCGGTTAGGATTTCCACAGTGCTCGCCCTGGTTCTTGGTTATAATGTCCACGTCGTCTGCATATACTAGAATTTAGAAACTATTAGTCACATTTAGAATTAAAGGTTCAACAGAGACATCCACTCTAGTGTCTAGATCCCACATTCTGCTTTCTTCTTTGTGGTATATGTAATGCATATTTTTTCAAGAGTCTGGCGTTATCTATAGTAGTAGCTAGCAGATCTTTCACATCATCCAAAAGTTTTCCTTCATTCCTACACTACTTGATTTTTTCAGCTCACAATAAGGAGAGGTGCAGAACAATTTTATGTTATTTTCACGAGCCTTTCGTCGACAACATATTTCTTATATTCGGGTATATGTCTCCTTGCAAGATTTAATAATTCTACTTTCAACACATTGTCATCAAATGATATATTTCTTTGAGAGAGCCAATTTTCCACCAAGCAGTTATTGGAGTTGGCTCCAATTGTTGACTATGATTAAACGCATGTCCATAAAGACAGAATTTGGTACAAGGTTTAATAAAATCTTTGAAATCCAACCTTCAAATTTTTGGGCTTCCATTTCTTCATGGTAGTCATTGGATTTCGTGTGTAAGAATGAGTCTCCGTCCTTTGTGCGCTAGTATGGCTTATCGACGGTTATAACTTCAAAATCTTGCCACACCTTTGAGACTGTATAGGCTTGATTTAGCCAAGTTTCGTCTAAATAGTAGATTTTTCTTCCTTTAATAATTTCATCTCTTCACATAAATTTGATGTTGATAAATTTAATTTGAGCTGTATGGATATTTTTGCCTTTTGTTAGAAGTTTCTTAGCGTTATGGAGAGAATAGTAGTTCTATAATTTGTCATAATTCTTCAATACAAGTAGAAATGTTTGCACGCCACTGGAAGACCAAGAATGGTCATTACCATTTCTTGGAATTTAGTGTCTAGTGACAATTTTGAAACTAAACTATACTTTTTTAATTTAAGTACATTTCCATTAACAGTATTAAGCACACAGTGAAGTAAAAATATGAATCAGCCCCAGCAGAGGTAAAACATTTCCATTGTTGCTCTTTCTGCAATAATTTTAGAAACATTTGATTCTGTAGTTTTGCTGATTCATATTTTTAGTCTAACTTCTTGATCTGTATTTGAAATAAACAGATTGGCTTTAAACTGTTATTTAGAAAGAAAAATCCAAAAGATAGGCGTAAAACAATTGGTCTGTGCACAATTATTGAAATAAAGTTCTAAAAGAATGGTTTATCAAGTACTCGTTACACACCGTAATTGTTAGTATGTACACAATATAGTTTAATCTTGCTTTGTTAAGTTACATAAGAACGGCAGTTATGTAACGCGCTTTAGAAGTATATAGTCTGTAGTCCCTCAACCTAAGGAGTCGAAGAAAAAACAGCAAGATGCAACTTTTTATACTCGATATTTATTAAGTGAAAAATATGGAAGGACAAAAATGTTAGGCTTTAAAGTAGTAATAAATTATTAACAGCAATCTAATGTTCTCAGAAATATTCATAAAAAGCATTAAAACGTGATATGCTTGGCGGAAAAAATACAAAAGGCGTTTTGCAACCATAAAATTTTCAGACCATAAAAAATGTGTTTAAGCAATTAGAAGCAATCAGAAGTTACCATTGTGCTTTTTGTTCGACTCCTTTTTAGAGGAACATACTGAAGACGACTTTAATGACTTAGTTTTCTGATGCTTGTAAATAATATGACTTAGATGAAATATAAAGTATACAGAATAGCAACAGTAACATTCCTCATAATTATTGTTTGTGTATTAATGAGGAATGAGGCAAAAGAGCCACGGCATGTACCTTTTTTTCAGCAACAAAAGGCTATATAAAAGAAGTCTTAAAATATTTCGTAATGAGGAGCTTTCGAGAAGAATGCTTAAAACATATTTACAGCGGTTCCATATAGGAAGTGTAACTGCCGAAGAAAGAAAACATCAACACTACAGGTCACTTTCTAGCGTCGTCTGCCAAAAAAGTGCGAATAGCCAGGATAATCAGCAGCATAACCTTTTATTGAAATTGTTTAATAGTTTATTTTTCATTTTTGTGCAACTGTGTTATTCTTGAAATCAATAATTACACTTTAATGCATACACTTCAAACAATGCCTTTTGTCTGTAATGTATAATAGTTACGCTGTATATCATAATCATTTACATTTGAATCTAAAATACAGTGTGTAATTTAGAGTTTAAAAGTTGTACAATATTTTATATAATTAATATATCTCATCATTTGAAGGGTACACGCTGCAGTTATTTAAACGTAAAACGATAAGAATAAAACATTTCCCCTTTTATACTGATAACTTTTTTAGGTTTATTCATCGAATTCTAAGGACACTTTTGTTAACTAATTGAAAATTCTATAAGAACTAATGTGTTAGGGAAAGACTAATACGGCAATGTGTCGTGAAGCGAAGAAAATTAGTATAATATAAAATAATATTAAGAAAAGTAAATACAGTTTTGAAAGGAGAATCATATTGTGTATTTAAGAAAATATATATTATTTTGATCATTTATTGTGGATTTATTTTATCAATTGTTGTCTAAAATGAAATGCGAAAATTAACCTAATCTTCAACAACATAATAATCCCAATAGAACTCATTGAAATGTTCACACAAGTGAGTCTAAACAAGCTAATGCTATAATAGTAAATCAGCAAGAGGATTCTCAAGAAACAAGAAAATTAACGAGGTGAACAATGTTTATTTCATACAAAAGATCAACTAAAGAAATTTTTTTTTTAATATTTTCTTTGAATATCGTTTTGTCTAAAATGCAATAAATTCCAACATTGATTAATCCTATCGAATGTACCAAATATTAGAGCATATTATTGAACAGCGTTTTCTCATCCAACGTGGAAAGTATTAGACCGCCATAATTCTTTAACTACGGCAACTAATACATAACAGTATACGATACAGTAAACATTGCGGAAGTGGCATTCCTCAATTCATTAGATAATAGAGAAACCGAATAATTCTCGACATAAGCAATTTCCATTTGTCAGCCAACAGCAACAAGTATAAAAACCAAAAAGTTACCTTTAAGTATCGGTCTTCACCAAAGCATCTGAAACTCATAATCTATTGTCAAAATTTTGGGATCTTTAAAAAGTGAATTAAATTTTTCCCCTTTCTCCTGAAGATCAATTAACAGAACTTATTTTAAGGGGTACATATACCTGAAAAGTGCTAAAAATTATATGAATCCTTCACTAAAGCAGAAAATCCTTTTTTTGCTCTTCAAAAACTCTCTCTTTGCTATATAAAATCAATGTCACTCTCTGTTAAAAATGATAAATGTCAAAATAAATATTTTGTTCGTGATTCAAGTATCACTGCAAAACTTGTGTGTACAACGACATCAGTGCCTCTAACCCATTATCCAAAATAATCTGCTAATATAATAAGAAATGGTGCCGAACAACAACCAAATATGAATCACATAATTAACAAATTATTAGACGAATTCAAAAATATGTTCCAACAAATAGTACAACAAAACGCCACGGTCCTAAATTTGCTGACAACGCCTATATCAAAAATTCAATAGCTTCATTAAAATAGCAGAGTGTAATGCCAGTGGACTTCCACAGCACAAAAATGAGGTCGAGTTATTTCTACGCAACGAAATTGACATTCTATTTATTAATTAGTGAAAGCCATTTCACAAGTCAAACTTACTTCAAGATACCTCACTACACAACCTATTCCTTAAACTATCCAGACAATACAGCCCACGCTACCATACAGAACTACCAAAGTATGCTCAAAATTGCTTGCAAGCTACAGTTATCAAAGTCAGCATGAGGTCTTACGAACTAATAGTCGCCGCAGTCTACTGTCCACCCCGATACAAGTTAAAGAAAGAAGATTTCAAAAACTTTTTTTGAAACTCTAGGACATAAATTCATTGTTGGGGGAGACTTTGCTACACAGCAAACATGTATTATTTGGATCTCGTCTCACAACAACTAAGCGCAGAGAACTAGTAAGCCTAATACATGAAAACAACTACCACCCTTTGTCAACGGGCTCTCCTACATACTAGCTAACATATCCAAACAAAACACCCGATCTGCTGGATCTATTTATCACCCAGGGCATCTCTACTGCTTACATGGAAGTCATGCCGAACTATGACCTTTCATTCGACCACTTCCCAATTATAGCAATCATTAGCAGCTTCATAGTCCACAAAACGGCCAAGCCAAGGCTAAACACTGCTGGAACTAACTGGGACAAATACCGTAGCAAATTAGAAAGCGATATCAGTCTACAAGTAAGCCTTAAAATAACAAGGGAGATAGATGAAACACTAAGAGCCTTAAAGAATACTCTCATAGAATACAGGTAGCAAAGCCCAACACATCCCAGCTGATATAAACAGAATAAGCATCAACTAAAATCTAAACTTAAAGAGTTACAAGCACTGTCATTTACAAACTAGATAAAAAATCTTAACCGGTACGACAATTCAATATGAAAACCGATCAAACGCTCCAAAAAACCTAAAACTCCGGTACCTCCAATTTAGAAACTGACGGGGACCAACACTACAGTGGACCAGAAGTGATGAGGAATAAACAATGCTATTTGCCAAACACTTAGCTCAAGTATTTACTTCCAACAACAAAGCTCCAGACATTCAAATTGAAAGAGACATAAATAACATACCAGCAATCAAATCACTAACCAAAAACGAAGTTCAACAAAAAATTCAATATTTAAACATTAGAAAATCTCCTGGATTAAACAAAATAACACCCAAGATGATAAAGGAACTACCAGATAAAGTAACCATATTCAATCATCGCATCCAAAATACTTGAAAAGTTACTGTTACAAAAAAAATTAACTCAGATCCCAATACGGAGTAATGCATAACAACCACCAATTTGGCTTTCAAGAAGTACACTCAACGATACAGAAGGTTCACAGAATAGTACACTCCATAAATTCTGCAATGGAAAGCAAACAGTACTGCACGGCGGCCTCTCTAGACGTTAGCCATGCCTTTAGCACACAGGCCTGATTTTAAAAATCAAGCCTGCCATCACCTACCTGAAACTGTTAAAATCCTATCCAAGTGGGAGAGAATTCCAAACAAGAGTGAGTGAAAGTAATTCCAATAAGTTTCCTATAAAATCTGGTGTCCCACAGGGCAACGTTCTCGGACCAATACACAATGAAGCACAATGATAATGAAACTAAACGACTAAAAAGTCGACGAAAATCCAACTATAACATCTAAAATTCTACAGGTACAACTGAATGAAATCGCGACGTGGTCAAACAAGTGGAGAATTAAAATGAATAAAACAAAATCAGTATAAGTGACTTTTACGCTGAGAAGAGACCAGTGTCCTCAGTTTCACGTAACAGTATCCAACTTCTTCAATCTTGTAGCACCAAATACCTTGGAAAGAACATATTCTTAAGAAGCGAAAACAAATTGACCTAAGAATGAAAAAATCAGAAAACTGGCTAGTCTCTAGGAAATCGAAACTGACCCTTGAAAATAAAATCCTTGTGTATTAAGCTATCATAAAACCTATCTGGACGTATGGAATCCAACTCTAGGGGTGTGCGACCAAGTCAAATACAACCATGATTAAAAGAAGTCAATCGAAAATACTGCGAACGATAACTGATGCACCCTGGCATGTGCCAAACCTATCGCTTCATGGAGACCTAAGAATCCCGTTCATACAGTATGTAATCACTAAATATAGCACAAAGCACCATGAAGGACTGGAATCACGCAGTAACCCCTTACTTCAACCTCTAATAAAACATCAATAGGAGACCCAAAAGGAACTTTCTAGATGACCTGAGAAACGGTTAAAGTGGTCTTGTCACAGCAAATTAGTTTATAAAAAATTATTTGTGTTTTGTTTGCTAAAGAGTGTAACTAAATGAAAAAAAAATCCCAATTAATTAATGATACTGCCCAATGTCAAAGTGTTCCTATTACCACAGTTTAACCACAAATGCTATTACTGTCTCCATGATTATCCGGAAGGTATCAGATACACAATACATTGCCGTTTTCCCAGAGCTAAATATGGGTTTCTCAAGTTACGAAAAAAGGAAAAGGAAGACACCACTAACTAAGTGGTGGTTCATCCACCACTTGGTTCACAGACAGGTCATCATCGATTAATTTCATATAAATATTGTAAATTTCTGTTTGAGTCAATTATAATGAAGCTAATAAAAAAGCGTTAGTTGCGTCTTTAAAAGTACCTTTTTGAACAGTACTTACCTTCGGTAATGATAACCCTTACATTGCCTGAAGCGGTTAAGTGTCTGGAACGTTTGGAGCCGGATTGGCTTCTTCTGGGAAACTTGAATGCACTGCATTGACTATTTTATATTTGGTACAAAGTACTTCAATATTCCAATCGCTGGGAAGGAATTTATGTATCCATATTTCTTTTAAGAGCTGATGCACTGCCGTTATGGCCTCGTGGCCACTTTTTTATTGCGGGTGATGTTTGTGGCTAATTTTTTAACTGTGTCTTTATGTTGAAGAATAGTTAATTATTCCTATTCCCTCTCATCTGTACCGCTTATCTCATCCCTTTGATTCTAGCTGACAGTATGTTACAAACCTTAATTGCTAAATACCTTGAACCATACCATTTCTAGATCAGACAGCCAAATTCTGATAAATATTACTGTTTTTTCTAGTGGTGATAATTTCTTCAGTCTTCATAAAGAACCTATTACTATTTCTTTCATCATTTCTTGTTCCCATCCCGAAACCGCCATCTTCTTCTCATGGCGCCATCTCCTTTCGAAGGTTGTCGATCCAAATGGCAATTGTAGTTTTGGAAACCGCTGCGTCAAAGATTTCTGAGGATGAGCGGTCGAACCATCTCCTCAGGTCTTTCAGCCACGAGTTCTAGTGTCTTCCTACTGATCTTTTGCCCTGTACTTTTCCTTCCAGTATAACTTGAAGTAATTTATATCTTTCGCCTCTCAACACATGACCCAAGTATTACATTTTCCTCTCTTTGATTATTCTTAGTAATTCTTTATGTTTACACATCCGACAAAGTACCTCAACATTAGTAACTCTTTGTACCCATGGAATTCTCAACACTCGTCTATATATACATCTCAAAGGCATCTATTCTTTTTTCTATTTCAGAGTCCATTGTTCAACTTTCACAGTCATACAGTAAGACAGAAAAAACGTAACATTTGATCATTCGGATTCTAAGCTGAAGACTAAGGTCTGATCTTAGTCAGATCAAAGTACCTCAACATTAGTAACTCTTTGTACCCATGGAATTCTCAACATTCGTCTATATATACATCTCAAAGGCATCTATTCTTAATATTCGATAATCATCGCATTGTGAGAAATTGGATTTTTTTTGGTAATGCTACGAATGTTAATTTTAGCCAGTCTGTTGGTATTTTACCTGTGTCATCTTATTGAATAGTGCTGTTATTAAGTCTAGGCTTTTGCTTTCTTTATCTGCAATTAGTTTTAT